GGACCCGGCATCACCCCGGCCCGCACCCACCGGCACTGGCACCCTCCCGGGACCAGCACCCATTAGTACCTGCTCTCACCCGTGACTTGCACCCACCCAGCGCCCAGGAGCGGCGCCCACCCAGGACCCACCCAGCACCTCGCACCCGCGGGGGGCACGGCCCCTCGCCTCTCCCCCGCACCCATCCCACTCCCCTTGGGACTCAGCACCCCACACCCATCCCCACCTCCCAGCACCCATCCAGACACAGCCTCCCACACCCACCCAGGGGCACCGCCAGTTTTAGAAACAGGACAGGGCAGAGCCCAGCGCACCCCAGCCAGCATGGGGGGGGCAGCTGAAGCCCCCCAGGAGAGCAGTCCCAGCCACGGACAGGCAGTCCTGGGCTGTGGTTGGGTGCCAGCACAGCGGACAGGGATCTGCACACCACCAGCACACCCTGCCACACCAGGCAGGGTGCCACGGGGGTCACAGGCCAGTACAGGGTGGGGAAGAGCAGAAGCCAGACCCACAGGGGACTGGGAGCACCCATGGCACCCTACAACTCTGTGTTCATCCCCCACTTCTCAGGGTCTGCACTGTGTCTGGCCCCCACAGGCAGCAGGTACCCTTGAGGGGATCAGACCACAGCCCCAGCACGTGGAGGGTACAACAGCACTAGTGTCGCCCCAGAGTTTATTTCCTTGAGTCTCAGTAACAAAAACAAACAAACAAACAAACTAGGGGTTTTTTTCCCCCCCTCCCAAACCACCTACCCACCCCCCCAGCCCCCCCTTCGGCTCAAACGTCGTAGTTGGGGTTCTTGCGTAGGATAACAAATCCTTCCAGGATGGGCGTCACGGGCACGTGCTCCTCTGTGGCCAGCTCTGCCCGCTCTCCATGCGCCAGCAGCACCGGCGTCGTGTGAGTCTGGAAGCCAGTGATGGTTTTGGGCTTGCCTGCCTGGCCCACCACATCCACAGCCTACGAGAGAAGAGCGAGGTAAATGCCGGGGATGGGCAGGGACACCGGAGCATCCCATCCCCAGCTCTGGCTGCCCCTTACCTGTCCCACCCGAACCGACACAGGCAGAGGTCGCAGCTCCTCATCGAAGGTGACCAGCATGCGGGGCTGCATGGCAGCAACAAGGCCATAGAGAACATAGTGGGACTTGCCCAGGATAACTGGAAGGGAGACAGAAGTAAAGGGGTTGAGCGGTGCCCACCCCGCGGGGCAGAGGAGTGCCAAGCCCACAGTACTCACTGTTGCGCACATCCAGGAAGGACACGAGGACGGTCAGCAGCCCGGCCACGGCCACCTGGCTCATGAGCTGGCGATCGCTGTGGTAGGGGCACAGGGTGAGCGTCCCCTTGCCCAGGTGGGTCAGGCCCTGGTGTGGCAGAGAAAGCACATGAGAGAGCAGTGGGGTAATACCTGGGACCCCCAGCCCTGCCTGGCAGGAGGGTGGAACGCCCAGGACACCACTCCCCAAACACACCCAGGGCAGAGCCCCCAACCTGCCCCTTTCCCACCACAAGCAGCAAGCATGGGATCATCACCTGGGCTAACCGCACCATGAAGAGGTTGTTGGGGTCCTTGGCATGGTACTGGGCTAGTTGCCGCAGCATCGCTGCTAGCCGGGCGTTGTTAGTACCTGGGGAAGAGGGGGTGCAGGCAGAGAGTAGGGTACACGGTTTGGGTCTCCCACCTTCCCCCCGCCCCCATGAGCCCCAAACTGGGCTGTCACCCAGGCTTACCGCTGCCCACCATGCCCATGGCAAAGATGGAGTTGTAGGAGACCTCGGGGTCAGCGTCGTGGGAGAACTTGCTGAGGGTGTCAAGGATGTTGAGCCGGGGGTTGGAGACAGAGATAAGTGCCAGGGCCAGGGGCACAGCACGGCGGAGGGTGGGCTCCCCATATCGCAGCTGCACGGAGGGTAGGTAGGTGTTAGACCCAGCTTACCAAGGGCAGTGAGGTCTACAGAGGTGCCAAGCAAGACCCAGTCTCTATTCCCAGGTCCCTTTCCTGGCTCTGTGCTGTCCCCTCCGGTGTCACTCACCAGGTGCCCAAATGTGCGCAGGGCCATCTCAGCGCCGATCTCCTCGCCCATGGCAATAAGCGCAATTCCCAACACTGCTACGCCCTACGGGGACACAGGCACTGAGTGCCAGGCAGGGAGCACCCAGCCCAAAACCCAAGTTCTCACAGCCCCTGCGCCCACCCTGAGCCCAGGGGGACAGGGAGAACAGGAGATGCTGCTGGGGGCTGTTTTCCTCCAGCACTGATCCTGCAAGTGGCTTAGGGACCACTCCAAAGCCAGCTCCTGCACCTGTGACATGGGTCCCAGCCCATGTTTTCCCACCTGGTGAGCCCCCATGTCAGCTGAGCTCTCCTTCTTCTCCTTCTCTTTCTTGTCCTTTTTGTCCTTGTCCTCCTCCTTCTCCTTGGAGTCGAAGTGCTCACTGCAGATGTGCAGGAGCTGTTGCACCTTCAGGACATTCCCTGAGCCTGAGGGGAGAGCGGAGGGCCAGGATCAGCAGGCAGAGGGCCCGGGACCCGCTCCTGCCTCCCCTGCCTCATCAGCCCAACTCACCCGCATAGGCGCAGATGTCCACCAGCGTGTTGGCAAAGCTGCGGAACGGCTCCGACACCACCTCCAGCGCTGCCAAGATGGCCTCGATCGCCTCTCCCTTCCCTGCCGAGGAAGGCGCAGTGGTTAGAGGACAGCGGTGGAGGGATGCTCCCACCCCAACCCATGAGCCACTAGCACTGCCCAACCTTACCCAAGTGGTTCAAGCCCAGGCCGAGCGGCAGCCACCGAGCATATGTGTCCTTCAGCTCCGTCTCTGATTTCTCCATGATGGTCTGGAGGATGGTTGAGGTGACATCCCCATTGCAGGAGCCCACCGATATCATCCCGCAGGCCAGGGCAGTCACGCCAGCCACCTGGTGAAGGAGAGAAGGACACATACTACATGCAGGGACAGCACACAGCGAGCTGGCCCACAGCTGACCCCCAAACAGGGTCGTGCTCTTCTGGCAGAGCACCTCAGGCAGGGACATGCTGCCCTGCTCCCAGAGCCCAAACCATCTGCAGGACAGCCCCTGTATCCCCAGGGGCTGCTGGGGACTGAGTGAGGAAGCAGGAACCCCAGGTGAACCTTGTCTCGCTCCCTACCTCCATGCTGGACTTGGAGTCTCCCATCACAGGTAGCAGCAAAGTCAGGACGTCCTCGCGGTTGGAGCCTGCATATGCCAGCCCCAGCCTGCGGAGAGTCCAGGGGAGCGTGAGGGGGGAGCTGCACCACCCTGCGCAGCACAGGGAAGGCTGGGGTTAGGCCCTTACCCAAAAATGGCTCCGATCCTCATGGTGTTGCTGTTGTGGAGGACATAGTCAGACAGGAGGGCCAGGGCAGGGTCACACTCGTTCCTCACCCCTGAGTTCACAATGCCACAGGCGAGGAGGGCTCCTGACTGCAAGGCAGAAGCACCATCACACACTGGCCACCAACGCACAAAGCTCCCTGCCAGCCAGTGACTGATGTCACCCCACACATTACACCCACTCC